AAATTATAATATGTCTTTAGAGTGTATTGACTAATTTTTTAAAAGTTCGCAAGTTATAAAATTTTTGTCCGGGATTAACCGGTATTCTATCCGGGGTATGATCGACATTTTTTCCGGGGTATCTTAACAACCAATCAAAACGAACTTCTGCTATGCTGTAAAATCGTAATATATAAAGTAACAGAAGGCATAATGGCGCGGGAGGATAATGTGGCGCATTAAAAATAATTTAAGAAACAAAGAACATGTGTTTTATTATCAAAGGAGTTTTTTTTTTAAAAAAAAAGAAATTTAATTAAAGTGCATTTGCAGAAGTACAGTTTATAAATTTGTAAATGATCAACTCTCTTTAGAAAAATTTTGTTCTTAACTGAGACATTATACCTTCCGTTACCTTAAGTTTACTTTTTTGTAAATCGTAATACATATACATAAATATTTTGATCAATTTTGATCAATTTATCCGGTGATAACTATTATTTTTCCGACAACGGAGTTTCTCCTGATTAGAGTTAGGATTTGCTTGCTTGAATTAAATTAGTATTGTAGAAAAAACGAAATATCGAGGAATCATACCAGATACTGTAAAAACACTTTTTATCTCTATGGTACACTGTAAAAAAGGCACAAATTTAGTATGTAAAGTACAAATGATATTTTTGATAAGATCTTAGAAATATGAGAAATACTATTTAAACCATAATTTAAATACTTTGATTATAATTGCTCATACGCACCTATAATATTAGCCTCTTATGATACTTTTGGATTAGAACACAAATTATATTCGTACTTCCATTCAATAAAACATTGCGACTATTACAAAATTTTAGGTATTGATGAAATATCCAAATAAAGAATATAAAACTAATCGTGTATAACAATGTAGTTGAATATGTACGTAATACAATACCAATTCAAATAATTACAACGATTTTATATAAAGAATCATAAATTAGTTTCCTACTAAATTGATAGCGTAATAGTTTAACTAGTGTGACGCTAGGATACGTGCCAAGACAACGTATCATCTATTGTAATTAGAAATATATATATATAGAAGTAGTTGCTCATAAAAATTTTTTTTTGTTTTCTCCTATGTACATATTTTGAATTACCCGTAATTTACATAAATTCGTTGTATCTAATGTATTATAAATCGTTACACTTAATGTTTTCTGTTGAAGACTTGGTTATAAATTCAACAATGAAAAGTGACTTTATTGAGTAGCGGAATTTACCGAAATATTTCTTAACTTTTAATCTCAAGTTCTGAAGCACTAATAAAATGTGAAGTTAATATCACGTGTAAAAATATACGCATTAATGATTATTAATTATTATGTAGATCGGTGAAAGAGTTAAATGCAAGACGCCTTTAAAGATTGAAAAATAAAACTTCCCCGCAACACTGTTACAAATTATAAACAAATATTTGTGAAACGTATTAATTTCTTTTATTTTTGTGTAACAATAGATTATTTACATGCTCAATGACATGCATGATTATCCTTATTGGGATATAGGTATATAATCAATATCAAAATTTTGACTCAGTATTTATCTCAAATTTCATTCATGGCTTCGAAAAATCTACACATTCATCTTCTAACAATAATCATTCTTTTATCTTTTAACTTGGTCAATGCCCAAAATGAGGATACTGATTCTCAAAGTGATTTGGTTTTAACTGATGGCCAAATTGAGGCAATTTTTGACTTGATGGGTATTTTATTAATTTTATTTAGCAATAGATGCCGTACATGCTAATAATTCAAGGACTGCACAGCTAGATTATTTCTCATTACGAATGCTTAGTTATTTCTTTCAATCACTTATATTAGCATTATCTATTTTTTTCACTTACAGTATTTATAAAAATACTGGAAATTTCTTTTATGTTCAATATCTTATTACTTCATTAACGTTCACTACTACAAATTTATTATTGGATCTCATTAATAGGCATGAACCTGATATTTTATCTTCTAGTGAATTTGTTGTTCATATAACTTTTTTTATTATAGCTGTTATACGCGGATATATAAACACTACGCATTATTTATTTATTCTTTTACCTTCATTATTTGGTATATTTTTTCCAATTTTTGCTTATGTGGTGGCAATTCTTCGAGGTAATATAACTTTGTTTTCATATTTAATAATTTTGTGAATAAGTATTAAATATTCTTAAAAAATTTTATCTTACTATGCATTTTAAAGGAAAATATAAAAGTAAAAAAAAATTTTTATTATGTTTATTTGTGAGCTTTTAATTATAATATTGTTAACACAACTTATTTATTCAGATGGTAAATTTCTTTACTCTTTATTTTTGTAAAAGATTTTTAAATGAAAAGTTATTATTCTTAGCCAAATTTTATTTACTTATACTATTATATTGTTTAAATTTAACGTTTAATAAAGAGGAAATTGCTACTCGTACTCGTACTCTATCACTTATTAGCGTAGACCAAAAAGAAGGTAATAAAACAGCCTATTTGTTTTTTTGTATAATTACTAAAATATTTAACTTGTTAAATAGAAACTGTTACGTGTGCTGGGAAGTTAGTTTCAATTATCTTAGCCTTTATATTTGGCGAATTAATGAATCATGGTATATTAGAAGGTAATGATGTAATTTTATTATTATATATGTATGTATGTATAATCTAAAATAAATGATATCAATATCTTAAAATATTTATTTTTGCTGAATAGATGAATATAATTTTGCAGTCATGACCGCTGTAAAAGAGAAATTGAAATTGGCTTCAATATGTTCACAATTTATTTTTTGTCTAATTGTTAAGCCTCCTGTCCTATGGATTAAAGCTTTTCTTACAGCACTAGTTATATATGCTTCGGTAGATGTTAAAATCAGAGAAATCAGAGAGAAAAAAAGAAAAAATAGGCATAAAATCCATGAACTTCCTGTGGATGTTGAGAAGCATAACGGGGTGATAACAAATGTAGTTTAAATCCTGTGCGCTCATAACATTTGCTGTTTTTTCATTTATTTATTTGATTTCAGCTAGTAACCAAAAAAAAAAGTCACGAAAACAAAAACAATATAGTTTTAGCGAAAAAAAATGATGAAAATATACATTAATAGCTATAATATCTCCTTTTATTGGTCAAGCTTACTGAATCATGTATCTATAATAGTATTCCAATATGTCATATATCTCATATCACGTTTAATAATGTTTAATAATCACGTTATCAAAAGCCATCATATTTAATTTCATATCCCTTAATTTTATAATAGCAATAATAAAAAAGTTATTTCATATTCTCCATTTTTAATTAATTTAAAGACTATTGATAATACTGTATTTTAAAATTTAAATTCAACGATAATTATTTTCCCAACATAAAAATTTGCCGACAACGGAAATTGTATTTAAAGTGATTAAACTAAATATCACCAAATCGTATAATTTATATTATATCAATTTATTTTCTCAATAGGAGTGTTATTCAGCCTGTATATTTGACCATTATAAAAACCGATTAATAATAGAACAGGCTGATGACCTAGTACGTATAGATGTTAAAGCGCGAAATAAATTAATTTTTTAGAGTATGTTAAAGTGCGAATATATTTTTAATAGTATGTTAAAATGTGAGTAAATTGTACACGAAAAAAATTTTTTAATTGCAAATATTCTGATACTCGATTCGTTTAGAACATTGATCGATTATCGATTCCAATTTACATAATAGTAGCCAATGTTCTAAACTAAAAGTATTTTTGTAAATATTGCTAGAGAAAATAACAATAAAAAAACATATGAAAATGGATCCATTATCTCTACTGGCAATTTCAATAATGATAATAACAATGCTTTACTGTCTTTAGCTAGTCTTAAACATATGCTTTAAACAACCGGATAAACATGTTTACAGTACTTCTTTAACCAACTCTAATCCAATGCTTCGACGGCAATAACATACTTCGCTATTCCTAATATTCCTTATGCTCATACACTTAATTAACATACGTATATGTACCGAACAATAATTGGTCACTATAGGTTTTCTGACATGTAATTAAAAATATTTAAATAATGGTATTATTAAGAAAAAGTATAATAAACCTTCTTTATAGTAAACCTTTTAATAGCGATAACAAAAATATTTATTTACTTTAAAACACTTCCTCAGAACAAAATTCTAGATATAATCAACTATAAAATATTAGAATAATATGACAGGGTGAAACCCGTGCTTCCAGTTAGTAAAATCTGCGCAGCGGATTTCAACCTGTCAAAATAAAAGCTGTACCAAAACTTTGAGCGAAGGTATTTCGACAACCATCTGATCGCTCAAAGTTTAGAAAAATCAAACGCCTATCTGAATAATTAACCATAGCCGCCCCGCCGCAACATATGGGCGGATTTGACTCCATTCAGATTGTCACAAAATTCGATTTTGTCACATTCGATGATCAAAACGTGATTATTAACCAATCAAATCAATTTGTGTGGTATTAATGTGATCATCACTAGTTAATCAAATCAATACATCAATACATATATCAATGTGCGAATGAATAAAGATTTTACTAAATTTTATTATCAATGAAGCTTCACTTTCCCTACTAGTAATTCTATTATATTTTTTTACCATCGTTGTTTTATTAAATGTAGTGTGATACTTTAGTCTAAATCTAATATGTACAGTACGATTAAATTAAACGACATCGCTTATTTGATCTAAACCAAATCTACGCTTACTTAGCAATTTAATTCCTATAAGACTAATTAATGTACAAGTATATACTGTATAAATATTATTAATAAAAATATCAAAAATTTGTAACTTATATAGTATTGTCGTAAAATGTATTCTCAAAAAGTATATAAATTATATACTGTAAATACCTAGATAATTGAGCCAAGCGAACTAAAGAAGGAAATATATAACCATAGTTACTAGTAAAAATAGTATTTTGTTATTAGAAAACGGGTATGAAATCAAAATCAAAATCAAAAATAAGCTTAAATAAGAGAACTGAAATCAGTTTGTAAAACCTTTCTTTAAGATCGTTCTTACCATATATTGCGACATTACCCCATATTTTTGTGCAGTTACTCTTCGGCATTGTCACTAATAAAAGTTTTCCTGTTTTTAGGATCAGAAGAGGATCAAGAAAACTAAAACCTCGTTGAACATAAATGTGAAATATCAACTACGTTACATTTTTTTTAAAAAAGTTATGATACTTTCACGACACCCCAAATTTTCATATTGTATGATGTAAATTAACCAATCAACGTGAATTTCATGATAATCACATTTTGGAGTCAAATCCACCCATATGATAAAATTGTCACAGCAGATTCTCGATTTTGATTGGCTGTACTATTTAACATGTGACGATCCTTGATATTTTTTATATCTTCTAGCAATGGTTTCTCAACGACTATCTGATTACTGCGCTTTTCAAATTACTGTGTTCATCAAATCGTCCATCACACGGAAATCTGAAAATTTTGGCACTTTCTCATAAATAAATCTAATTAAAATGTCAGAAACAAAAAATTCTCAAGATTCCCCATTATATTTCGATTCTCCAGCAACACTTCTAGTAGTACACTAGATCAGGTAGTTATTGTGACAAAGTAATATCAAAATTTCCAGAAATTTTTTTTTCTTTTTTTTGTTAGTGGGAATTTTGTTATCATTTCGACAAACCAGCCACCAGCTCTAATGTACTACTAGAGGCAGCACTGTAGAATCTAAATATAATGGGGAATCTTTGGAAATTTGATTTCTAGACATGTTAATTAGATTTATTTATGAAAAAGTGCCAAAATTTGCCAAAATTTTCAGATTTCCGTGTGATGGGCGATCATTTGATGAACACAGTAATTTGAAAAGCGCAGTAATATTAATAGAACCAAATCCGATGAAAATTTTTTATTTTATTCTACAGGTCTGTAGAATCAAAATTTTGTCCCTCATCGAGGAGTGTTACAAATGAAAAGCAATTACGGGTATTCTGTCTCTTCAACTTTCGTGCAATACGTACTAACAGTGTAGAATTCGAAAGTATGATCGACTGGACTAGAACCTAATGGTCATCTAATACTAATGCTACCGCAAAGAGTAGGACGGAAAACCAGACAACTCTATCTGGAAAACCCCTTAGCTCCCCTTGATTAACATGTCAAACCAAATTATACGAGTGCTCTGTAATAAATACAAAATTTCTTCATGGCTGTCGTCCCGAGAGGCCACCTCTATATACCCAAATATGAACATTTGGGAAAGATTGAAGATCAAGGAACCCAGTGATATCTTCATGATAATCACATCACATAATTAAGTGTTCGGCCTACGTTAGGGTTCGTGTTAGGGTTAGGTGATAGGTTAGTTTAGGCTAATTTGTTTAATGCTAGTAAACAAATGACGTGATGTGATGATTACTGGGTTCCTTGTTCTTCAAGTGTCCCAAAATTTGTGACTTCATCCCGACAGGCCACTTCTCTACACACAAATAACAAGAAAACTTCTTCGTGATTGTCATCCAGACAGGCCACTTCCCTATACACAAATAACAAGAAAATTTCTCATCAGAAAAGCTATTTCTATATACACAAATAAAAAGAAAACTTCTTCGCGACTGTTGTCCCGATAGGCCACTTCTATTTCAAAATCAAAATCATAACTGTCGCCCGACAGGTCATAAACTATCTAAAAAACAACTAAAAAAAATAAGGCCAGACCAATTCGATTTTCTGTTTTACATTACCACCCTTCCTTTATAGTAAAAAAATAAATTTTCTAGTAAAAATAATTATAAAGCTGGTAACGGCCAGGAATTTCCGATGTAGACAGTGAACAAACCTAAAATACGAGCGTGGTCGAGCAAAAATTTGGGAAAAAGGTCTGGGGAATCCCGAAACAGAAATTTTGGTTGGAAGTTAAGGCAAAACATTTCCTATACTGTATAATACATTCAAACCCACCTCCAGAAGGTAGAGGGAGGGAGGTAATGTAAAACAAAGAACTAAATTGGTCTGGTACTGTCATCACAACAGGTCATTAATAAAACCCCTATTTCACTACAAGATTATATACGAGGGTCAGGTAAGGCGGGCGGGTGAAAAAACCAGACAAAAAGCTGGGTTAGCAGAAAAAACAGGCATTACCTTTTCTGGGAAAACTTGTTCCCTTAAATACTACTAACGATTACTAATCACAAATTCTGCAGTCGATCGAGATGTCACGCAGATCAGGTGATAAATTTTTGCAATGCGGGAGGTCTACGGGGATGTTAAAAGTCCTGTCCGGTCCGATTCGACTCTTTGGAGTCGAGTTTTTGTTAAAGTCCGGTCCCAAGTCAAACTTGGGATTCGACTCGCATAGCACGTGCATCTTTTGAATATTTAAATATAGCAAAAAAAGTGTATTCTTGCATGAGTACTCTGTTCTTTCAGTACTATACTAATATGCAAGATGCACGTGCAATGCGAATCGAGTCCCAAGTTTGATTTGGAACCGGACTTTACATCTGGTTTCATAAATTCTGAAAATTGCCGAATCGATAAGTTTCTTGAGCCAGTTACTATTCGGTAACTTATCGATTCGGTCATCTTCGGCAATGTTTTCAGTTGTTCCAGAATTTATGAATCAGCTGTAATAAAAACACGACTCCAAGAAGTCGAGTCGGACTTATAACATCCCTAGTATACGTGAATGTACCAAATCACGTGATTTAATATCACGTGATTTGGGCGTACGTAGTTATCTTGGACAAACTATCTTGACAATTATCTAACATAATTCAAAGAAAATTTGCTTATTAAATTAATAAAATTTATTTAAAAAATTTCTCATCGAATTTTAAAAAGTAAAATTCATTCAAAGTTTGAATAAATTTTTACCACCTTGACGCGGCAAAAATTGTCTAAACTTTGAATAAAATTTCTCAACAATTATATGATAGAATTCAATAAACTAATTTCTACGAATTAATATAATTCATCGAAAAAAACATCATCAAATCCTATCGAGTAATTGTCAAGAAAATTACATTAAAAGTTAGGAAATTTTTATCACCCTTAAAAAATAGCCACGACAGAAAGTTTTCAAACTTTGAACGAAATTTCTCGAAAACTAATTGATAGAATTCTATGAAAATTTTTTTAAATAAATTCTATTAAATAGCAAAATCCATTTAAAAATTTCATCGAATTCTATCAAGTAGTTTTCGAGAAATTTCTGTTGTAGCTATATTCTTAAGGGTGATAAAAATTCTCCAAACTTTGCACGAAATTTTCTTGACAACTACTCAATAGGATTTGATGGTATTTTTTTTTTAACGAACTTTATTAATTCGTAGAAATTATTTAAAAAACTTCTATTAAATTCCATCAGTTAGTTGTTGAGAAATATTTATTCAAAGTTTAGACCATTTTTGCCGCGTCAAGGCGGTAAAAATTTTTTCAAACTTTGAATAAATTTTCTTGACAACTGCTTGATAAAATTCAATGAGAAATTTTTTAAGCGAATTTTACTAATTTATAAAATTGATTTAAGCAAATTTTCTTTGAATTTTGTTAGATAATTGTCAAGAAAGCTTGTCCAAAAATTAAAAAAATCCATTTCGATAACTTACGTACTGTACGCCCATAACACGTGATATTTAGGTACGTGCAATTTACGGATTTGGTACGTACGTGCCCGTAGATCGGCCAGGAGCAAACCTTTCATTTTTGACACTGTGAGCCTGGAAACACGTAGTAGTCGCCGGTGGCGAAGTAACGGTTATGGCGATCACTTACCATAAATGGGGTACGTCTAAAGCGGAGTAGATTCTTATAATATATATTTTATCGAATTAACTTTAGGGTTATGGTCATCTTCAATTATGGTTAGAGCAGACTTTAGATAGTTATATATAAGCAAAATTGCCTTCCCGACATTTTTACTTAGCTTACCCAAGGTAGGTTTAGACTGCTATTTTTTGTATTTTCAAGTTTTTCGCTTTTTTTTTTTGGTTTGCTTCGTCAGCGATTATCAAAATTCTATAATTTGATTGGTTATGTGTCACGTGATTCTGCTCCGCTTTAGACGACCCCCATAAATGGGGTTTTTCCGGTAGAGTTGAAAAAGTGGAAATCCTGATACAGTATCGATGATATTCATAATTAGTGGGTGCAATTGGGAATAATTAGTTTGCATAAAATATATAATTAAAAGGATGTATCACGAATAAGACTTTTAATAAGTCATAAGATAGATTAGGTATATAGTAAAAGCTTCTCGCCCTTGAGAGAAGATATCCCTTCGTGACTCCAATAAATTCGTCTCCTAATACTTCCATACCCTATATACCCGATAGATTAAATACTTCCACCCTGATCTACTGCTTAAATAGCATAAGTAGTAAGATCGTTGTTTTCTTGCTCACGTGATTGTACCGAAATTCTGTCCGGTTGACTCTCGACGTACTGAGGACTACCGTAGTTGTTGTCCAACTCTCCCAACGTACCGTGGACAGTTATGGCTTTTGTGTTGTTCCAGTTTGAGGTCTAAGTGGAAGACACAGACAGTGGTTAAGTTTGAATAGAATAGAGTGTTATTATATATAATTTAGCCCCGATATACGTCTAAGAAATTGCACCTACGATCACAATATCACCCTCGTCCAACCTCTTTCGATTAAGCCGATCGTAGGTTACACGACGTCCGGGATTGATAAGCGACCGACTCGCCGATTTTCAGTTAATAACAATAAGAATCTTCAAAACTTTGAGCGAAGACATCTCAATAACCATCCGACCAAATTCGATAAACGTTTTTCAATTGATCATAATATTCAAATAAAAAATTTTCACTGAATTTAGTCAAGTGATTGTCGAGATATCTTCTCTTAAAGTTAGAGAAAAATCAAAACGCCAATCAAAATAAAAGCTGCGCCAAATTTTTCTCTAACTTTGAGCGAAGTTATCTCGACAACCATCTGACTAAATTTGATAGACCATTTTTTATTGAATTCTATTAATGCATAGAATTCAAATAAAAAATTTTCATCGAATTTGGTCTGATGGTTGTCGAGATATGGGGGGGAGTAAGTAGAAACCAAGCATCTTGTTTTTAGTGAGTTTTTTTAAAACTTTAAATTAATATATCTCAACAACTATTAAACCAAACTTGATAAATTTTTTTTTATTTTAATTCTATAACTATATAGGATTAAAATAAAAAAAATTTATTAAGTTTAGTTTAATAGTTGTTGAGATATTTTAATTTAATGTTTGAAAAAAATTTACTTAGAAACAAGATGCTTGGTTTCTACTTACTCCCCCCCATATCTTCGCTCAAAGTTAGAGAAAAAATTTGACGTAGCTTCTATTGACATGCGGTTTGATTTTTCTCTTTTGAGCGAAGATACCTCGACAATCATCTGACCAAATTCGATAAAACTTTTTTTTTTTGAATTCTATGGATTTATTGAATTCAAATAAAAAAGGTTTATCGAATCTGGTCAGATGGTTGTCGAGATATCTTTGCTCAAAGTTCAAAAAAAATTTGCCGCGGCTTATATTTTGATAGGAGTTTTGATTTTTTTTAACTTTAGCGAAGATATTTCGACAACCATCTGTCCAAATTCGATGAAAATTTTTTTATTTGTATTCTATGAATCAATAGAATTCAACTAAAAAATGGTTTATCGAATTTGGTTAGGTGGTTATCGCCATTATTAAAAAAGTAGGTGCAGGAGTATAAAAAATGAAAGTTTTGCGGCCGGGGAAGATGTGAAGTGAAAGTATATCACGAGATCGAAAAGAAGAGTAGCCACATGATTTCGCTTCATGATGCCATCACGGGTAAGTCAAAAATTTCAAGTTAGATTATTATTCATTTTTTATCAACACGATGATGCCACGTTATAATTATTGAAAATTTCAATTACTGTAGCGGATCAAAATTAAATAGACATGTGTCCTATGCTCATACTGATTCGATATAACGTTAACAATGGTCATTAATGGATTAAGGGAAGATCTTTAAAGAAAGGTTATTTATAGAAAATGCTTTTTTTTTGTGCTATCACTAAACTGTAAGTTATCCTCTGCTAGATACGATAGTACCTTTAAATTTTCTGCATGCATAACATTTTCCTCTAGATAAGAGTGCTATTTTAAACATTTCATTAACATTTACAATACATCTACAGTAATTAAGTTGTCTATAAATTTAAAAAATTAAAGAGGCATTTGAAACATTGATCGAGAACATTTTATTCGGAGGAGATAATGTACTGTTCTGGGGTAATATATCATAATATTAACTCCTCATCACTAAAAACCTAATAAAATTATCAATGTCCTTTTATTATTACTAGCTTTTTAATATTATAAATAGAGAAAGTATTTCGACAAATTAATATATCCGTTCTCTCTTGTATTTCTCCTAAAATTAAGATTTTTGCAATGAATATTTTCAAAAATTTTACGAAATTTTTGTCACCTAAACCAAAAAAATATTGTAGTATTCCAGGATGTACAAAGCCCGCTTATATTGATGAAAAAGGCTATGTATATCCGAACTGTGGACAAACTTGTGGCAATGTCATCATTAAAAATTCCAAAACACACATAACTTCGAAATTAAACAAACTCTTCCCATCTATAAGAGTTCTTTCTGAAGAAGATTCAAATTATAAGAAAATACAAAACGAATTTCTTAAATCGATAGTTTACATCAAAATTGTAGCTATTATTCGTATTAAACCAATACAGGAAAAGCGCATTAAACGTTCAAAATTGAGGCGTGAAATGGCTAAATTCATTGACAAAGACCCCAAAAGAATCAAACGTAGATTGTATTATGGAACTCGTGCAAGCTGTGATCCAAAAAAAGTTTTAAAAAATAAGAAGGCATGTTCAGATCAGAGATGTGAAATGTGTAGCATCATTAAATATGGAACTAAAGATAAACTTTTACGCCGTGGAAAAAGTATGAATTATTCTTTTACAACATAAATTCAGAAAAAATAATAATTAATTTTATCATAGTGACGTTTACTCGAAGACCATCAATTGCGGCAACTTTTGCATATAATCTAAAGAACCCACGAGAACATTCGAGTACTACATTTATTATTGATATTTTGACGACTAACGATACAACTTCCGATGTTATAACCGTTGAACGGGATGCGGTATATATTTCGATAAAAATTTCTTTATTTTTCGTATTTCTTAATACTAATTTAATGACTTTTTTGATGACTTGGATGAATAGATGACGATTCCACGATACCTTATTCTATATGATCATATTTGAATCACACATAATAATATTGCCGATGACTGTATTTGTTTCATGTACTAAATCATTTAAACCTTGGGGAGTGTAATATGTCATAATATATTATCAAGTTTGTTTATAATATTATTTAATTTTGTTGTAAAACCTCTCGTTATTTAATGAGATTATTATAAATTTAATCAAAGTCTCAATAATTCTTACAATAAAAGCAATGTCATATTTTTTTTACCATGTGATTCATCGCCAGTGCTATGCAACATGAAATCAAGCATATAATCCACGTTCTAATTGGAGTAGCGATGTATCACACTGATTATAATGAAAGTTCATCTTAGATAATAATTTTTATATATTCACCTACAAAATTAACTTGAATAAAACAAGGAATATTTAACAAATAATTATATCTTTATTTCGATAGGATATTTTATTAGAATACCTTTACAAACTTACTGCAATATTTCTGTTTTCCTGCCAGACAAATGTCATCGTAACTGTCGATTATGTTCGAAGCAATATACTTTGCATCAGGAGAATAATGCCTGTTCTATATATCTGCTAAGACTGCTAATGTGTAAGCATATTTGAATCAAACTTCCTGATGTTTAAAAAATATCAATATAAATTAAAATTTTATAGTTAGCCATTAATTATGAATTGTTAACAATTAAAAATTAAAATAAATTATTAATTTATCGTTCTTTTCGATTTAGTTGGTTCGATGAGTTTTGCAGATTTTTTTTTTTTTTTTGTCCGTGAGTCCATGAATCCGTGAATCTCATAAATGCATATATCCTGCATATAATAATTATTTGTAATTGTTAGTTGTTTGTTATCATAGCATAATAAACAACTAACAATTACTATACTGTATGCAGGATGAAAATCACAGATCAACTAAATCGAAAAGAACGATAACAGTAATTTCTAAACAATTAATTACTTTTGTCCAATATTATAGAAGTTTTTTTCGGAAATTATGCAACCAATTGTTTTTATTATAAATCTTAATATTTCATATTTTTCATAAAAATCATTGAAAGAACTATAAAAATTTTCCTAAATCTATTATGATAAGAAACCTTTGTTAGATATTACATTTTCTAGCAGTTTTCTAAAAAATTTTTATATACTAAATTTCTAGTGTAATGTGCAACTTTTATTGTGGTATTCTAAACAGAATTTTATAACGCATCATAAAAAGATCATGTGTAATATGAAATCTGAATAAGCTAAAATATAGTAATTTAAGATAATGGTTAGTATCAAAGTAAAGGTAGAGAAGCAGCAAAGACCGTGTCTACCTCAAAATTTTGCAAGGGATTTTTTTTTTTTTGTCAGAACACGAAAAATACTTTCATAAGCAAAATTATGAGCTACAAGTGTTTTTTTTAAAAATGTCTATTTTCTTCGATTTCACATTACACAGTCTGATGGTTTAGAAAACATTTGTAAAAGTTGCATATCACACCAAAGCTCTCTGAAAGAATACCTGTAAAAAAGGGATATTGTTTTATCTGTGGCATTATTACACTCAAACCATCTCTAAACAGAGCTGATGTAACTAGACGTTGAAAATTGATAAATGCCTTACTGCTTTGTATTTTCAAGCAGTGAATGTATATAGAATAATAAGAGGTTTATGTGATTTGCTCTTATGAAAGAGGCAACGACTAAGTGTATATGAAGATTACTGTAGAAGTAGGCGTATAGGATAATCTAATATATGTGATCTTCACGGTTGTCATGTGATAAATATCATTAATAGTCTAATAAGTTTTCTACTTGTGTATGAAGACACAAATATCACATTTTATTTAGATTAGGCAAGGTTGAATGATGATTTTACTGAGGCGAAAAGTAAGTCTTTAAATACATGTCCGATATACTTAAATAATAATACACTAATCAAATTGTTGGGTTATTTCTATCCATTATTTACTTGCACACACATTTCACATTTACCACTAATCATTCTTTCAATATCTTTGTTTACATTAGGGTGTGTCATTCCTATACAGTTGTCGATGAACTAATTAGCTAAAAACCGGTAATCATGTTTAACCGTTTTTGTTCACCCAGATTATTAATTCTTTATGGAAGGTTTTTTTTCCCGATGCGAGATAGTAAGTACAGCTTTTAAGTGGTCGTTTTCATTTAGTAATTGGGGTAGTGTGTCTAATTCCTTTTAACATTGATCTAATTCGTGTTTGAGCAACCTTATCTCACGCGTCAGTCTCTAAGTTTGTATGGATAACTATATATGAAAATATAAAATAGGTAATAACAGCAAAACAAAATAAAATAAATAAGGTGTACGGTTGGAGAGCTTGAGGTAACAAAGTTTATTATGGAATACTGCATATCAGATATCAGATATGCTCGTAATACGTGAGTCACATGATCTTACGATTATGTATATAAAAGTTCCAGGATTCTAGAGAATTCTTTATGGGTCTAACAGCATCATTACTCTAATACATTATAAATGCTGTACATAAAATTTCTATTAAATTGCATATTTAATTTGAATTTATGATTGATCACTGATTATACATATCTTTCTATCAATATTTTGGATAATTCAATTATTATCGATAGAAATGAATTATTAATTTATCGATTTGCAATTAATTAAAAATTAGAAATCCCATCACTATTTATAGTACTAGTAAATGATTTGTTTTCCATAATTTTTGTGTAACAATAAATTTTTTCCCAACAACGGAGTTTCTCCTGATTATTTTTTGATTTGCTTGTAGAGTGAACTGAAAAATGTAATGTGCAAATATGTACGTACTGTACGTAAAATCTTCCCCTAGATCGCCACTAAAATTTTCACCGACACGTGACAGTGTCACGCACCATCGATAATCGTTATCTGTATGTCGTTTTTGATAAAACTTTTTTTTTTTGTATACTAACGTTTTTTAAGTTCGATTTCTTTTAAAATTCAGCACTGGACTTGGAACTGGCGTAGTCTTGGTTCTTTTTTTTCAAGTAAACTAACACTCTTTTGCACAGGTTCTCCTTCATTGATTTTAGAAATCTGGAACTAGGAATATATGGGTACTTTTTTGTATAGTTTTTGATTTTTACTTTTTCTTTAAATGAAACTAACACTTCTTGCACAGGTCTTGCTTAGAGTTTGCAAACGATTTTAGTTTTCATATGGGACCTCCATAGCAAAAGGTGGCAATGGGCCAAAAGTTTTTATTTTGTAATTTTGTAAAAATTATATGCTGATTATTCTAATTCTTCAAGAAATTGCCTTTTTAAGAAAAACATTTTTTTTGGCCCATTGCACCTTTTGCTGTGGAGGTTCCCATATGTTAAAACCGATTAAAGTCGGGTTTAACATATGAAAAATAAAACCAGTTCCAAACTCTAGTCTTGCTTCATGGGTCTTGCATCACTGGTCTTATTTTGTTTGCTGGGTCTTACTTCTTTAGTTTTTGTTTGTTAGGCCTTGCTTCATCTGTTCTTCCTTCGTCAGGTCTATCTTCATTGGATCTTGCTTTGTCGGGTCTTGTTTCGTTGGATTTTGCTTCATCAAGTCATATTTTTGTTGGTCTTGCATTTCATGGATGTTACATTTCGTTAGGTTTTGTACTTTGTAGTCTTGCACTTTGTAGAGTTTTGCTTTATCGGTCTTGCATTTTGTTTGTTGGTTAAGAAGATTTATATATAATAGACATTTTAAAAAATTCTAAAACTTTTGATCGAAAATATCTCGGTACCTACTCCTTTGCTGAAACCTTCGATTTTTGCTAAATATGTTTACAAGATTGCTACAATATTGCTACAATGTAATTACAATATT